ACGCCTGTGGTTGCGTCTGAGGTGATGGGTTGAGGGGCGAGCAGGCTTATTAGGGTTAGTTGGATGCTTGGTACAGAGCATTCAAGATGTATGTAATATGTTGGCGCGGCCTTCATACACTTCATCATACCAACAACTATCTATATCAGTATATATGATAAATGAATCGACATAAGTTTGCAATTAGTGAACAATCAGAATTATTGAATGAATGATTTGATGCCGGCGTAACGCATTAAATAGCCTGCTAATGCAGCAGAAGAACCCGCCGCGAAGCTGCATGAGCCGAAGCAGCAGCTGGTGGAAGGTTGTGCTCCCGAGCTCGGCGAGCTCGGAAGCCGGCTTCTTGATGGATTCTCTGATGCTACTGCACGTATTATTAGCTATATTCTTTCTTTGCGCCGTGTTGGTGCAACTCAACTTTGTTGCGCCCAGCTGGATGGCGTTGACCGAGACGTGGGCAGAGCCGTATAATTTAATATGAGTACGATAGCATTAAATCTCGAAGCGTCACGACGTGATGAATAATCGGCGCGAGGCCGGACCGACAAGCAACCATGACAAAAGTCATCCAACAGGGCTTGCGATGCATGTTTTCCTCCGCACAGATTGGCTATAGCCAAGGTGACCCGCGCTAATGTGCGTGAGTGAGCGCGCAAGTGCGGTACCAGGCGGTGTCGTGCAATGGGGCACACAGCAGAGCAGCAAGAGCGCTCTGCTGATGCGCGGCCCGTGAGAAGCATGGAGCGCACGGTGATACCAGGCGAAAGCTTGACGGCGATTTAAGTGCTTTCTGAGCGCCCGGCAATCCAGTTTGTGGCGTCAGCTAAGCAGCAGCAGCAGCAGCAGCAGGAGCAGCAGCAGCAGCAGTGGCAGCAACAGTGGCAGATAAAGCAGCAAGCAGCAGCAGAGTTTGCTCTGTCCATCCCAATGCAACAATGCAGCGATGTATGACTGAAGCAGTGCTTGCTCTGTTGCTGAGGACTCGATACTCGCTGGCTTCAAAGGCACAGTACAGCAGCAGCTGCTGCTCCGTTCTGGCCACTGGATGAAAGCCGACAATCTTCTTCTGTGGCGGCAATAGCCACCCGCTTGATTGATCAAGGTCTGGCGGCCGATTCAACGCACGCCGACCCAACGGTGACCCGCCAGCTTCCGTCATCAACATGTTGGGATATGTAAATACTTGATAGATAGATAGATAAGTTACTTATACCATAGCATCACTGCCATCGGCCTCGCGCTCATCAGAGCGGATTCAATACTTGACCCGGAACAGAGGTCGCCCCGCAAGCAACAGTCAGCCTCAAGGGTGACGCTTCGCACACAATCGCATGGGCACACCTTGAAGCTGGTTCCTGTGCCCCTAGTGCCACGTGCAGTACGGCCTCTATTGTTTGCTGATCTAGTAGCCCATAGTTTCACAGCTCATCCGCAAGGGCGAGGATATCGTGCTTGACTACGGGGAGGTGGGGCAGTGGGGGGTGGTTGGGACATGGCCGGGGTTGGCCTCAGCAGTGGGACGGCGTGACCCGCAAAAGCAGGCTGCGCGTGCTGGCCGGGCAGGCCCCTTGCCTTGGTGAAGCAAGGATGGGGGATGCTGCCAGGTCCATGTTTCGTCTGCCTTGCTGGTTGCAAATGTCCCTTGCACCCAGAGCTGCGCGGCGGCTGCAACAGCAGCATCGGACGCCATGCGCACACGGTGACATCAACCCAACCTTTCACGCCTGCTTGATTGCGCCCAGCACGCGTGTAGGGCTACTGGCATGTCCTGGCCCGCTTGCTGCAAGCGGAGCAGGCGCAAAGCGCCACATACTGTACCTCATAGTGCGTGTGGCGAAGCGGGACGGGCCCTGTTTCCGCATGCGCAAGTCGTTGGCCCCGACGTACAGGCGAGGTAGACTGCGCTGCAGCCCTCCAAGAACTTGCAACAGCCCCTCGCCATGGCGCCTGTCGCCTGGCCGTTCCCCTGCTCAGGACATGCGCCACAAGCTCGTGGCGGCGCTGCTAGGCAGTGGCGTGGGCCAGGACGAGGTCAAGGCGGCGGTTGCCGAGCATGACCTGGACGCACTGGGATGGTTTGAGTGACGTCGAGGCTGAGCTGACAGAAAGCCAGGGCAGCCGACGTGGGGCGACGCGGCGTTGCGGGGCGACTGACGGAGGCACCAGCTGAGTTCATGCGTCCAATGACTCAAAGCTTGCTTTGATTGAAGACACTTGAGACTGTTGTGCAAGGGCTGCCTGCCGCCTTGAAGTCATAGGACCCGACAAAACGCTGATTTGGGGGACCCCTCAGCATTGCAAAGGTCACAGTTGTAACAGTCTCCAGGTTCCGTACAGTGTGGGAGAACCTTGGATGTGTGCTCCGTGACAATTGCACGGCCGTGCATAACGCGGGGACGCATGCTTGGGGGGCGGCGGCGTGGTGCGGCGGTCTGGGGGACCAGCTTGATGGCGTTGTGGGAGTCTCGGAGCGAGGGGTGCTGCTCCAGTGACGTGGCTGTGTGTGTCCACTGCCTTCCCAGCGCAGAAGGTTTCCAAAAACAACAACTGTTTGACCCCAAAAACACCTGCATCTGTGTTGGCCCCATGTTTCCATGCTTGCTGCTGAAGATATTTCCATGCTTGCTGCTGATACTCAGATACTCATCATACAGTATGTGACTGCAATACAGCCAAGCCCACCGTACCCTTGCGTGCGTCCGTCAAATCTTTAGATTCTCCTGTGAGCATCTGTTGCTGCCGGCGACGTCCACATGCACTTCTGAGATGGGGCACAGCAGTCAAGCCGGAGCCTGCGTCACCAGGCTGCTGACCGGCCCTGAGTCAGCGTGCCACTCACACTGCGCATGCCATTGGTTCTTGAGCTTGCTCGGTAATGTGCCATCGCTGACATTATCGTCGCGTGGTGATTCTGGTTGATTGTACAATCTGTAGCGAGCGTTGTTGGACAAGGTTGTGATCACACTGATCTGCTCAGGCATTGTTACCGGTTGACAGAAGCATGGCGCTGGTTTACAACGCCATGAATGCTCTCCGACGAACCCATGCCAGTGGGTGGCTCGATGGCAGGGGTCTCGCCCTGGTCTCGCATCTGTTTGATCAGGCATCTAGGAGCTCAGTAGACCCTAAACACTGTTGCGAGCACAACAGTATATCAGTGACCTGTGAGCAATGGAGCAGCAGTGCCCCAGCAGGCAGCTTGGGAGCCGCACTCCCTCCATCCTGGATGCAGCTGGCGCCGCTCCCTGGTGGCCAGCGGTATTTATCCCATGAAAAGTGCGTTGGCATCCGCTGCTCTACGCTTGCTCGCGGCATAATTTGGCACAATGTCATTCTCATGGGAGACGTGGAACTCGCTCGGCGGAGCAGCCTGCAGCGCGGCGCGCCTTGCCATTTGCCATTCTAGCCCCTGCTGCTTCCTGAACCCTCTACTAGCCCCCACCGTGCAGCCCCGCCCCGCCCCGACCAACCCCGCCTCCCGCAGCCGACACAACGCGCGCGCCAAGCCCGGCCAGCGGCCCGCCTTCCGGCCCGACCGGGGCCCGCCGCAGCAGCAGCAGCAGCCGTCCCAGAGGGCGGCGCCGCGCAAGCCCAAGGCGCGCGTCAACGGCGACATCCGCGCGGCGCAGGTCCGCGCGGTCCTCCCTGACGGCAGCAACCAGGTGCGCAGCGGCTGGCTGCACCACAAGCGTGGCACATGGTTACAAGTGATGTGCGGCAGGCAGCAAGAGCACACCCAGAACCCGGTGACGTCAGAGCGCCTTGGCGCCTGACCCCACTGCTAAGTCGCGTCCAGCATAAAGAAGCAGGCTTCTTCTGCTGCGCTCCCGTCGTCGTTGCGTGCGCGCGCCGCGCGTCGTTGTTGTATCTCCCGCCTCGCCGGCGCCCCCGCCGTCCCGCCAGGTGCTGCCGCTGGCGGAGGCGGTGCGGCTGGCGCAGGGGCTCGGCCTCGACCTGGTTGAGGTGCCGGGGACCAGCAACCCCGTGGTGGCCAAGGTGGTGGACTGGGAGGCGTTGCAGAGCCAGCAGCGCAAGGTGGGTGGATGGAGGGCAAAGGCGACGGCGGTTTGCTCCCTGGGCAGCTCGCTGCATGACCTTTTCTCGGTGATGTGTGTCGTCCGCATGGCCGGGCGCGTGTGCGCTGCGACAGCTGCGCCTGCCCAGCACGGTGACAGCAGCCAAAAGAGGGTTCCTTGCACGCCGCCCGCTTTGTTTGGTCCGCAGGCCGATGACGAGGCGGCGCGGCGCGAGCGGCTCCGCGCCAAGCTGTCCACCCCAAAGGAAATGCAGTTCACGTCGCGCATCGGGGGTGCGCCCAAGCCGCTGCTGCCTCCGCCGAGAGGGCGATGCGTGCGCCCGCGCTCTGACGCGGGGCTCTGCGAGGGCTTGCAGCCGCTGATTTTGCGACCAGACGGGTCATCTGCGCGGGCGTGCGGGCCACTGGTTGCGGCAGTTGCCTCAGAAACGCCGTCCGACGGTCCCTGCCACTACCCCGCCCTTGCTCATTGAAGTGCTCCTCCAACCCCCGCCCACCCCTCAGACCATGATATAGAGATTAAGATGCGGAAGGTTCACGAGTTCCTTGATTCCGGGCTCAAGTGAGCCATGGAGGGACCGGCCCGGCGCCTGCCGCCGCAGCAGCCTCGGCACCCCGCTTGCGGCTTCGGCAGCGCGCCGCATTGGCCCCCTCGCCTTGACTGCGACACCCACATCTCGACAAATCGGAACCTGCACTGCCGCGCCGTCGCCGCTGCTTGGCTGTGTGTGGACACGCGCGACGCACTTCGTCCCCCCGCCGTCGCTGCGCGCCTGCCGCGGTGCGCCGGCCCGCAGGGTGCTGCTCGTCGTGAAGCACCGGCGGGAGGAGGGCGGCGCGGCCGCGCTGGCCCTGGACTACCTCCTGGAGCGCCTCAAGGGCGAGCGGCCGGGGCTGGAAGTCAGCAAGCGCACGGTAGGCGGCCCTCACCAGATGCAGGGTGAGGGGGAGCGGGCGCGTTGCTGCTCGCGTGCTGGCTGCGGCGCACTGCGCGTGGGCTGAGGGTGCGGGTTGCCGGCCTCCGGGTTTGGCTGATCTTTGCCGGGGGGAGGTAGCGTGGGCCGACGCGCGCCAACATGGGGCGTGCATGTGCCACAATCCCGCAGGAGGGCAGCCGCAGCATGAACACGACAGTGTCGTGGCCGCCGGCCGTGGCCAGGGCACTCAGGGGCGAGTGACAGAGGGGAGCTGCGCGGACTATCACTGCGCTGGCGGACATTGTTGCTGCTGCGGCGCCGTGTGTAACAATATGCCATGCTGCTGCGTTTGTTCGGTACTCCTCTCAGCACATTGCTGGATTGGCGTGGGGCACTCGCCTGCCGTGCGGCCTCGAGTCAACCGAACCACCAGACCAAGCAGGCAGCCCCCGCTGCCAGCCCAGAGGGTCTGTGCTGGTGTTCTGAGCGACGGACAGTTTTGCGCTGGGGGCTGATGGCAGAGGGACATTAAAATGGGGGTTGCGTGTGGGCTCTCTCGCACCCCCAACCTTCCTTCTTGCGAACCTGAACGGATCCAAAGAAACAATCTCCTGGCGAGACATGCGCACGCGTGCGCGTGTCGCCCATCGCACGGCAACACACACGTATATGACAGGGAATGAGAATCCTGACGCGGCGCTACCTGTTAACGGAGCCCACCCCGCACAAGGATGACCAATTCCCTCTCAACATGCCCCTCGTACCTGTCCGTCGGACTCCGTGCAGCAGCATCTACGGTAGAACGCCACCCGTTTCCTTCGAGAATGCGTTTTCAAGTCGTTTATCACAGCCATTGTGATGCGCGTTGACACTGCCGTTCCTCCCGCGTGCAGCACACGTTGTCTCGCACCGATCCCCGCATCTGAGCGGAGCTGCTGGCGCAGAGACTCGTCGACATGTGTTGCAGCGTGATGGGGTGGATTGAGCTGGACGTGGACGCTGCCGCTCGTACTCCCGGCATTGGTATCTCGCCAATGCTCGCCACTGCAGCGGAGGCCGGCTTTCGGGAAGCCAGGGAGCGTGCTTATCGGCTCATGAAACCCCATGGAACGGCAGCCAAGGTGAGGGCAAAAGCCTGTTGCACAGCGGGTGCCGCCTGCTGTGCGCACGCGCAGCGCACGCATGTCCCGCGGGCCGCCCCGAGCCGCGACCAACCCGGCCGTACGCGCGCCCAACCTGTCCACCCAGCAGCTGGCGCTGGACGTGCGACATGCAAAGGTAGCGCTGGTCCGCGAGGAGGGCGCCGCAACCCCCGCCGCGCTTTGCGCACGCCTGTCGGGCCTTGGCTACCCCGCCATGTGCGTCGCCGCTTCGCGGGGCGGCGGCAGCGCTGGCGCAGCCAAGAGCGCGCAGTGCTTCAAGAGCCTGCGGCACGTTTTCATCGTGGTGCGGCCTGAGCGCGTGCGGCATGCAGGTCGCGGCGACGCCAGCATCCGGCGGGAAGGCGCAGTGGTGCACGAGGAGTTGATCGTCGATGCGGCCTTCAAGGAGGTGCGCACAGCGGGCGGTCACTTTTTTCTGTGGCCCCCTCCTGTATGGCGCATGCACCATGCTGTTGATGCAGCGAACTGTGTGCATTATTTGTAAAAGCATTCGGCGGTGCTTCTGTCCAGCGAGGCTGCGTTTTCAGGGACGACTCCTGTCGTTCACCACTGCGGCGCTCGGGTGTGCCTCACCGCATGCCCTGCGCCCAGCCGCCCGACTGCAACCGACAGACTCCCTCGGCACCCTCCCCCTCCCTTACCTACGCAGCACTTTTTAATCCCGCACCCCACGCCCGCCTATGCGGATCTCCTGGCCTCCCTGCCGGATGAGTTTGTCGGCCCGCGGTCGCGCCTGGACCCCCTGGTGGCCTGCCTGTGCGACCAGATGGCGCTCTCCTTCAAAGCCCAGGGCTTCACGCTGCCGCCCTGGCGCCGCCCCGAAGCGATCGCCTCAAAGTGGCTGCCGGCACGCAGCGGCGGCGCCGACTGCAACAGCACCGCGGCGGGGGCCGGCGCGGCTGGGTGCAGCCCCGGCAGCGTAGGCAACGCGCCGCCGCAGTGCACTGCGGCCACGACGGCTGCGGCATTCTCATTCAGCCGGTTGGACGAGGGCGAGCTCCTGCGCCAGACACTGGCGGGCCGCTGCCGTGGCCTGCTGAGCGGGAAGCTGCTCGGCAGCGCCGCCGCCGCCGCCGCCGCCGCCGCTGCCAACGGCGGTGGCGGTCAGCTGTCCGCGCGCGCAGGCCGCGCGCCGGCGTGCGCAGCGGCCGCTGGCGGCTTTGGGCAGGGCTCCGTGTGCCGGCAGCCGCCGGTTTGCTCGGGCCAGCCCGCGACGTGGCGTGTGCGCGTGGCTTCGCACTTCCAGCAGCCACCGCAGCACCGCCCTCGCGCGTGATCGCGCACAGCCATGTTTTTGGAACGACTTCCCCCGTTGCTGGCCCTTCCCGAACCCGTTTTTTGACGGCCCGCGGGCGCCGGCACTACTTAGCCGCCTGAATGCGGCAGTTTGTGCGCGGCTGCGCCTTCCCGTGGATGGGCAAACCCGTTTGTGGGGCAGCCTACGGGCGTGCATGAAGCAGCTTGAGCCCCAGTTCAGGTAGAGGGGTGGGGCCTACCCAGGCACGCCGTGTGCACGTCAATGCGGCCCAATACGCGAGGGCCTGGGCCGCCTGCGCGGCGGCAAGCGTCGCGCGGCACCACCCCGCCCGCCCACCGACGCGTGTGCGTTGTTCCCCACACAAGGCAGCCGAAGAGGCTCTGACACCCATCACTGCTGTGTCGCCAAGGCACGCGGGGCTGCGGACACACGGGGCCGCCCGAGAAACGTGTTGCGTGCCGGCGAGCGTTGCTTCCTGCTGTCACAGGGTGCCTGGGGGCGCGCGGCGGCGGCTAGGGGCGCTTTTGAGCAACCCCGCCCCTAGTGCCGTGCGTGCGCCCCCGGGCCCCTTTTTTTGGGCCACGACATTGATGTATTGGTTGAATGCTGCATTTGGCCAGCCCACCGGGCTGGCAGGGGGCCCGAATCTCGGGGCTGGCAGGGGCTCCAAACCTTGGGGTTTGCTAGGGTCCAAAACCGCTGTTTGTCCTGTCAGGCGGACAGGCTGCGCCAACTGGGGCGCGTTTTTCCCCGCCACTCGATGGTGGGAGGGCTCTCGAGGGCTCCCGGGTGTGTTTTGGCTGAACCCACGCTCCGCAAGGAGTTGAGTTTGCTCGCCGTTGAGTGCGCAACAGTCCCAGGCCCATGCTGTAGGTCAAGCCACCACCCCGTGGGGGCCGCAGCAGGCAGCAGCCGTTTTCCTGACGCGCTTCAGGTCAGATGTGTCACGGAGGGTTAGCCGCAATGCTCTTGCGCTCTACGAATACAAGCACCATCCTTGCCCCAAGTCCAACCCCTCGAATCCACGGGTAGCACACACGACCCTTTGGCAGCCCTGCCACCACTGCGCACGCTTGGCGTCAACCCCGGTGGCGCCGGCACTGCGCCAGCCCCACTGCAAGCCCGCCTCGCAGGCGCCCTCTGCTTTTTTGAGCGCCAACGGACGCACGTGCATCACAACCGCTGCGCACAAGAGAATCCCTGCTGCTCACATGCCACGCACGGCACCTTCCCAACGCGCTTTCCAGCCAGCTCGCTTGCACACATGCATTCCAGCCGAGCCCCCCCTCAAGCACTCTAGAATTGCAAAGCGAAGCGAGCGCGCGGGCCTGCATAGGCATGGCCCTCGTGCGTTTTTGGAGGGCGACAGGCCGAGCAGCCGCACGCACAGCAGGGCACCATCCCAGGAGACGCGCTGCCAAGCGCCTGCCCTTTCCCGCCGAAAACCCCTGCTGGCTTGAGCATGAGCTCGTTGCCGATCGCCTGCCCTCACGCGTATTAGTCAGGATTCTGATTCCCTGCAACCAGTAGCCCAGCTTTTCCAACTGTCTTCTGCCCCTGTGCCGTCCCGATGCGGTCGCCGTGCCTTGTTGAAGTGATTGTGGGCTGACAGCCCGCCCTTGAGGTGTTGGGAGCCGCGTGGTGCATACACTGGGGTTGCCAGGGCCTTTGGGATGCGAAGGCCCTGGCGCCCTCCCTTCCAGTCACGGAAGCGCATGCCGTGAGAGCCTGCTGATGAGCATTCTTGCCTGCGCTGGTCCCCGCGGTTGCTTGTTCCAGCTGTGCTGCTCGTGTGGTGAGCGTTGCAAGCGACCGCCCCATGTGAAGCGCTGGTGCAAGCTTTTTGTTGTGCGTCGAAATGGTTGTTTGTAATCGCCCGCATATCATCTCCAAGAAGCCGGTACGGTGATGGCGTAGGCCTCGCAGGGGTGAGTGGTGGTCATGGGCAATGCATTCAGAGTGCCTGGGGCCGAAGACCGGACAGCACATCGTGCGTCGCTGCGGTCACGACGCTGAGCTTCCTGTCAGGCAATCACAAGCCAAAGCATTGGCAAAAGGTCATGCCAATTACTATGATTTGCCAATGTGCAGTTGGCATGTACGGTAGTACAACGGCTGGGGCCACATCTCCCGCCCGCCCAGTGCAGCTCGAATGACTCAACCTGCGGGGCGGTGTCTTGCCTGTGCACCACTGGTCTCCTGACGGGGTCGAGTTCGGATTGACTCCATACCATACTCGACGTGTTCATCGTGCGCCATTATCCGGGCTTCGCGGCCATTCAAAATGTCCGCGAACGGTGATCTAGGCGGGGAACAGAATGACAAGCGGGTTTTGTGCGGGGCACACGGTATAGGATTTTCCTCAATATCATGGTGCCAGATCGGTGGCGAAGACGGCTCTCGGCCCGTTTGGCACGCTGTCACAGCCGGGCAGGACGGCAAGCTCGTTTTGCGTAACGGAGACGAGGGCCTCGGTGTTGTCAAGATTTCAGGGGATCATGAGAAACCCGCTGCTGACCTAGCAGTCACGCCGGATGGCAAGAGCGTCGTGGTGATCGATGACCAGTATGTGCAGGTGCGCGTAGCGCGCGCCTCGCTCAGTGCAGTCATCGCGCATGCACGACCATACAGGGGGCATGCAATGCAGGCAGTGGCGCTGCAGCGCAGCACCTGCGGGGTCAGCTTAATCAACCCAACCTGTCAGGGGTCAACATTTGAAAGTGACCCTCGCGGTCTTGTCCGCACAGTCACGCTCTCGACCTCTTTCGCACGCCCACGCGCACGACCGCGCCGTTCCCGCCGCCGCCGCCGCCGCTTCCACCTGCAGATCTACTGCACGCCGGACCTGGACCTGCTCACGAGCGCGTGCCGCTTCACGCTGCCCGGGCGCAGCGTGGCGGTCGGCGGCAGGGACGGGGACGTGCTCGCGGCGGGCGGCGACGACGGCCTGCTGAAGCTCGTCAGGATCAGCGAGGGCAAGGTGCGGCGCGGCGCACGCACGGCAGGGAGACGAGCGTCAAGCTGCGCTCTCGACCATTGTCGGCTGGCAAGGCGGTCGCCGGCCCTGACGTCTTAGGCTTGAAACGCCCCGCCGACGCTCTGTGCTTTGCGCCTCGTGCCTGTCCCGCACCCCGACTGCAGTCATCCGTAGCAAGCCATGCATACCTTCCCCTGCCAAACCCACACGCATCAGGTGCTGCGGCAGATCCGCACCAAGGGCTTCGTGCGCAGCGTGTCGCTGGACCCGGAGGGCAGCTACGTGGCAGCTTCCCTCGCGGACGGCAACCTGGGCATATGGGACGTGAACGACGGCTCCCAGGAGATGCGCAAGCACGTCTGCCCCAAGGTTTGGGGGCCAGGCCGGCAAGAGAGCGCTGCCGTTTGCGCAGGTCCTCACGCGTGCTTCGCCCGCTGCTCTCGGCGCGCCACCCCTGTCCTGCGCAGCGGCAGCAGCGCGCTGCGCAGGGCCTGCCGCTGCCTCACTATGCGTGGCGCGTTTCCGGCGTGGGGCCCTGAACGATGCGCTCCACCACACTCGCGTGGACGCAGGTAGACACCGCCTCGACGCGGCGCAGCACGGTCGCGTGGTCGCCGGACGGCGGGGCGCTGCTGGCGGCGCCGGGGCGCGACGGTGACGTGGCCCTGCTGGAGCGCCTCAGCTGGTGGGTGCGGGGTGTACAAAACGCATGAAATCAAAAGCGGCGGCCCAGCCTCTGAGCGTGGTCGCGTCCACAGCATCCAGCGGGGTCGCAGCGGCTAGCATGGTAACCGACCAGCAGCGGCCGCGGGGCGCGCCCCGGCGCCTGCCGTGGTGCGGTGACACACACCTTGCCTCACGCCGCTGCGCGGACCGCCCTGCTGCGTGGCCCCGCAGGAAGGCGGTGCAATACCTGGGTGGTGCCCACACCGGCGACGTCAACACCCTCGCCTTCTCGCCAAACGGTGCGCGGCTGCTTCCGGGAGCGGCCGCGGAGGGCAACCATCCCGGCTCGTGAGCGGGCGCGAGTGCAGGCGCATGCGCATGCACACACACGCACACACACGCGCGCGCGCACACACACACACACACACACGCATTAACACACAAGCACTTGCACGCCCTCCCTTGCATCCGCACATTCTTCGACTCACCCCATCCCTCCCTCAAAACGGCCCCCCAGGCGTTTACCTCGCGACGGGGGGGCTGGACAAGCAGGTGGTGGTGTGGCTGGCGGAGAAGGGCGTTGCGGTGGCAAAGACCACTCTGGAGGAGGTGCGCGGGCCGGGCTGGGCTGGCGGCGGCGCGTGACAGTGCCCCCCCTCCACCCCCTGCGCTCGCAGGCCTGCGCGGGCGCGAGGGAGGGCGGGGAGGGGGCTTGAGCCGTGCGCCCTCGGAGCGCGCTCTGGCAGCCGGCTGCGTCTGAGGCCGTTGCTCGACCGCCAGCGGCGGGTGTGTCGGCATCCTGTTGGATCGTGCGCCCCACGGCCGGCGCGCGCGGTGACACACGGGAGCCCATGGCGGCTGGCCCCCCGCGCAGGTGCCCTCCCGCCTGTCGTGGCACCCCCAGGGTGACGCGCTGCTGATCGCGGGCGAGGGCGGCAGCGTGGGCCTCTGGTCACACGTGGTGCCTGCCGGGCTGCCTAGCCCCTGGCGCAACCAAGATGAGGTCCTGAGGCACGCGGATGCAGCAGCGGCGGGTGAGGCCGGGGCGTTTGGGTAGTTTGGGGAGGGCGGCGGCGCGGCTGAGGCGGGGGACCATGCATGTGACAGGCAGAGAGGCGGCCGCGCAGGGTGGGGCCCTGTTCTGGGGGCAGGCAGGGGCGAAAAGATGGCTGCTCGGCTGGCGCTGCAGCGGCGGAGCAGGAGGGAAGCATGGTGCGACGCC